TGAAGCGCCTCATTCACATCTGGACTTGATTAAATGATGAGATAGATCCTGGACTCCACATCTGAAACCATAGTGGGATGAGACTTTGGGGGTAGTCAGTGAGCACATTTTGCATCTGGAATGGATGTAAATGATCACAGCAAGGGGGCAGACTGTGGTAAATTGTTTGCAAAGATGGCCACAGCAATTCATCTCATTCCTACATGAATACCCCTTTGTAGCGTGACTTTCTTGCTCTTCCCATCAAGTTGTAGAGTCCATTTCCCCACCACTTAAATCTGGGCTGGTCTGGTGACTTAGTTTCATCAGTAGACAGCAGAAGTGATGTTACTTCAAGAAGCCTTGAGCTTCCACTCTTGCCATCTTGGAACCTTGGGACTTCCATGAAGAGAAGCCCAAGCTAGCCCCTCTGAGAATAAGAGACTAAATGGAGAAAAAGGCCCAGGTGACAGGCATCTTCAACTGCCAGAATGTGAATGAGACTGTTTTGGACCATCCAGCCCCAAGAAAACCACCAGATTACTGCAATCACATGAGTGATGATCCCCAGCAAGATCGGCAGAACTTCCAACTGAACCTAGACCAAATTGCTGACCCATAGCATCATGAACAAACGAGTGGTTGTTGTTTTAAGATACTAAGTTATGGGGTGGTTTGTTATGCAGCCATAAATAACTGATATATGTGGCAAGGATGGCAGAGTTAGTTTCCCTTCACTAACAGCATGTTGCACTAGCCATAGGAATGGGACTGGTTGAGGTCATTTTCCTCAAATGGGGATTACCACGGCATAGGCAATCAAGGCTTCTGGGACTCATTTCTCAGCCCGTGCAGTAGGATATGATTTCAGGATGTCCTCAAGTCCTCTCCAGGCGTACCACGACCCAGTTCTCTCCCATGCTCTCAAGCTTGAAATTTCTTTAGCTGGGGCTTAGACTGAAATACATTAATTTATAATATTCTGTTACATTAAAAAGCAGGCCCTCTTGGGAGACGTGACCTACTGACTTAAAAGTTCCCCCAAGATCTAAGTAACTGTCTCCAGATTGTCTCCTAAGAGCAGATTTTAAGAGAGAGCAAGAACACTGGTCACCTGAAGGAGAGGCTGGGCTAAGAGAAGCCATTGTTCGCCTAGACTTTTGTCCAGGATATAGCCCTGTCCTGTGCCATGGGAGACATTAAGGACCACAGAAAGCCTTGCTCTCTGAGTTTCATTCTATATTCTGAAGACTCATAGAAACATGGAGAGGAATCCAGCAATAAAACATCTGCTTCTATCTGCAGGGTTTCAGGGGCCTCTGTCCGAATTTGGATATTTCTCACTCTGCCTTACGGCTACTGGGTATCTCATCTCTCATCCTGGTGAAAGACCTGCCCCCACCATGGGGTGGGTTTAGTTGGTCACTGGTTCTAGAGCCTCCCTCTCTTCCACCAGCAGCACAGTGGTAGGGAAGGGAAAGCTCAGATAAAAAGGCTCGAGATGTTTCTGGATCTATGTGACACTGGAGCTGTGTCTGCTGGTCATTTCTGGGGGAAATGCACATGAAGTAAATGAGCTAAAATATGGAAAATCAGCCAAGATGGTGCCTTCAGCATACTGGGTGATTTTATAACATTTTCCAGTTATAAAAGCCAGGTCTGAGCAACTGCAATCATAATTCTACCAGACTGTAGTTCCATATATATGGCTATGGATTTTCAGGTTTGTAGTGGAATGGCCTGGTTTTTGCTTAGCCGAGTCAATGAGGAGATAGCCAACTTTGCAGAGTTTTAAATTAACTGAAGGCTCTGGTATAAATATACAGCTTCAGAATGCTGGATACAACTAATGGCCACGTGCACTATATACATGGCAGCATTACTCAACAACTGAAATAATAGCTCATAAAATGACTCTTCTAACTCCAATTATTCATTTCCTTCTCCTTCTCCCTCTAACAGCAGTGACACTATACATTGCAGGGTTATTACTTCACTCCACGTATGAACCTTTGGCCTACTGACTTATCCCTTGGGGCATGCTATAATCACTAAGAAATGTTATCCCTGTCACGTCTTATTGCTTAATTGTGGCTCTATTTTAGGTTCCTCGAGTCATTTGGCTTGGAAGACCTCTTATGTGTGATCTTCGAACAAGCCTCCATGCTGAGTTGTCCTTGAGCTCACACTGTTCCATTTACATTGTTCTGGCTTAGGCAATGTTTATTGCCCCTTGGTTCAATAACACCCCGAACAATGGTAATGAGCTCTCACATTTATGCTGTTCTCCACCTAAGAGGATACTATTAACCCTTTTGTCAGAAAGGTCTGTCCTTAATTTTTCCAATACTTGATGGGGCTTTCCCCTGATGAATCCCGGTGGGTCCCCTATTTTAAATCAGTGACATGCAAAAACCTCCCCTCTTTCTAACTCACTCTTGCTCTGGCGACTACACTTTTTTAACTCAAAAGTTTTTATTTTGGTTGTGTGTTGCCCCCCCTCCCGCCCCCTCGTGCTAAAGGTGAACTGAAAAATATGGTATGCACAGATTGAAAAACAACTGGGTAGAATATTTAAAATTAGGGGTGTTCTAAAAATCTGGGACTTCTGGAGAGTGCATCCATTTCAGTGTTCCAACCACTAATTTTGCTTCATGCTAGTAAGACATTATGTTCTGCATCAGCCTTTGTTTTATGAGTGTGAATCTTATTCCCTCAATTAGACTATAAGCTTCTTAAGGACAAAAGGCACAGATCGTATGCCTCTTACGTAGCTCTGTCCGTATAGGTAAGCTACACTCGGTTGTTTGATCAATTGCATAAACAAATGATAACTGTAATTTCAAGACAGCTGTTTGGGATTAGGAGCTTGCAAAAGTAGCCTGGCATTAAGGCAAAAGCAGACTGGAGAATAGAGTGCTGCTTCATCCCTCCAGAGAGCAGTTCAAATCAGGCCTGGGGTAGACGTACGCTGAGAAGGGGTGTAATTACCCTGGTCCAGAGTGGCCCTAGGTCTTGTCTGGCAGACTGAGTTGTATCTATCAAGACCCTTTAAAAGGCTGACTTGGCTCCTTAGAAATATAAAACCCAAAACATCATTTATAAAGGTCAGTGGCAATGGCCTGGGTCAGAATACCTTGAGTCCTTTTTGTGCCAATGCCATGGAAGAGGAAGTGGCTGAACACTGAGATAAGCTCCTTGAGAGTGCTGTGTTGCTAAATGCAAACAAAGAATGAGAAGTTTATAGCTGAATTTTTACTCTGCAATTCAAATGCCAATTCGGCAATGAAATATGCTGTAAGAATTCCAGTCAGAGATTATCATCTGACTTGGAGACCAGCTGTGTGCTCAGTGAGTGCAAAGATTTACCACCTGTAAGCAGAGTTATGTAGAGGTGGAAAACTTGAGAAAAATTCATCTTTATTTATATGCAATGAGAACTGTACTTTAAGAAATTCTGCTTCTTTGAAACCCACAAAAATGGCTCTCATTTAAAAAGTAGTAGGGAATCAAGGTATGAAAACCTTTAAATTCAGGAATTCAAGTTTACCCAAGTGAACTATGCTTTAAGGTAAGTGAAAATTACTACCATTTGGTAAAGACTATCTTTTAAATAGAACAAGTGAGATAACGCAAAGTAATTGGCTCCTAAATTATTCACATCATTAAGAACCCTGATAACCTTCCGCTTTAACTCTTTGAGAAACGGAAGCAAGAAAGAAGTTCAACACCAGAGAGGGACGGCTCTACAAAGTGTTCAGTAAACTCATGGCTGTAATTCTGAACAAATAATTGTCTGCCACAGAAATTCACCATTATTGTGCATTTGTGAATTTATGTATGAAAGCCTTTCCAAAGTGCTATATTTTATGTTAAAAGGTATCTATGGCAGGGCTGTCCTGGAGCCAGCGCATATGGTCTCATAGCAGTGAGCCCCCTCTTCTCACCCATGTGCTCTTATTCCTCCCACACGTGGGATGCAGCTGCCTTTGTATAAAACTGATGCAACACAATTTTGTCCCTTATATCATCACCTGAGCACTCTGATACCACCCTGGGAAAGCCCAGCAAGATAACAATTTTTCAGAGTAACAGTTTCAGTGGACCTTTTATAGCAATATTTGAAAGCATATCTCACAGGCACACACACACAATCCTGGTCTAAAAGTGAATGGATTATAAAGCAAAATTTCCAAGTGGAGGGAATTCAGTGATCTTCACAGCCTAAGTAAGAGATCCATCTGGAGTGTAGAACTGCAACTTTACTAACATTTTAAGTTTAAAATGAGCTTGGTGCCCAACAAGCTGCTAGTGAAATCTCTGGCCCTCAGATTTCTCACTGTAAAAAAGGTGATCAAATCGGATCGTCTCTGAGGTCTCATCCAACTCATTTCTCTCTTGGTTCTCACTTTTTCATATATCTTATTAGTACTTAGAGAATTAAGATTGTACATATGTACCTGTTTTTAACCAATATTATAAAACCTCACTTATTAATGAATTTTCCTTAATAGAGGCTCATACAAAAGTAGGTAACTGTATCTACCACACGGAGATCTGAAGATGCGTTATCACCACACACTATTAAACTGTTTGAAACTTCTTTTTAAGGTAAATGAAAGACCATGTATAAATACATAAGACTTTATTCCTTATAAAAATAAGAGTGCTTTGGACAATGAAGCTTTCAATTTTTATGTATGTCATTCATAAACAAACACAACTATTTATATAAATGCTTCTGTTTAGAGAAGTCGGTAATGCAAAGTTAAACTTTCAACTCAAAGTATGTAATATAAAAAATACAAAGTTCATCCATATTACCCGAAGATAATGCTCTCAAACAAAGTCATTCAAAAATAGGATGCCTCTAACTTTTTTAGAAATTTTTATAGATATAATATTATACTTGTCCTTATCTTCTTTTATGATAGTTCTTTTTTTTAAGACTTAAAATGTAATATTTTACTTTTTGGAATTTCTGATAAACAGATCATAATTTAATGTAATATTCAGACTTTGTGACAAAACTACAATATTTTTTTACACGTTCACATATAACACAACGTAGTTGTCAAGTATTAGTGATAGGAATTTAATAAACTATTAAAGTAATAAGAAAATCAGCATTTTAACAATTTAAATGCTTTATGACAGGATAATTTATGCCCAACATATAAAACACACATTTATATTAATAGATAACTTTAGAAAGAAAATATGTCAGTTTTTCGGACAATCAAAAGTAGTAATAACATATTCTATATTATTCTCAGCTTCACTTTAGCAATGTTTTGTCTGAATGTAATCAATTCACTGATTAAAGACAATATATTAATAGTAAAATTACTATATATAGTATGTGTATCAACGAACCAAAACTCAGATTGTAAACTAAAACCATTTAAAGGCAGATTGAAGACAATAGTAATGTTGGCTTAAGTTGTCTGTTTCTTTACATTAACTGCAGTTTCTAAGATGTGTTTTGCAATTCTAGTAAGATCCAGATAGGTAATTCAATGTGCTACTTTTTTTTTTCTTCCTGCCTTTCTTTTTTTCACATAGTGATTTTTGTGTTTTTTTACTGATTACATAAAATAGGACTTCCATTCTCGATACTTCTCCCAGGGGAAGATAAATGAGTTCGATTAGGTATTGAGAATTATTTTCCATTTTACTTTTCTATATTTAGCTGGTCTAAAAACACTCTAACCACGTAATTATTTCCCCCATCCTTTTAAGTCACTTATTTTCACCCAGTAATAGGGGTAAAAAGAAAACTGAAAGAACTGGACCAAAAATCAAGGTGAAATATGCCCCAGATATAAAATTACTATAATTTGGGATTTTAGAATGGTCAAACATGTTAATCTACTAAAATTAATCATGGATTCAAAAATTAACATTGTTTTAAAGAGGCTTTTATCAGAGGTCAGGGCATAATCTACTGCAGAAATTATACTTTACTGAATACCATATTAGTTGAAAAGAACACTAGCACTTCACGTGCCCAGAGCAGCTGAAATGTCATTAACTTTTTGATTTGGGCCGTCTGGACTAAGAAGGGGGATGCTATTGGAATTTGCACGCTGTTTGTCTACCTTTGGGGAAACAGCTTGTTCTTGATGTTTTTTGTCCTCTTTAGCAAATCCTAATGTCACATTCTCCCCAGCGGGCTGAAATGGCCTTTCTAAATCAACTGTTTGTTTCCCTGCTTCTGCTTCTTGTTCACGCAGCAATCTGTCTACCTCCACTTCAAGCTCCAGAGTCTCCTCATCAGCTTGTACGTCCAACTGCTGCATCAACTCCTCCAACTTCTTGGCCTTTCGGAGCTCATTTTGCTGTATGATCGTACAAAGATGTTCAGTGAGTTGCTCTTTTATCTCGGTCTTGCGCTGTAAATCTAGCTTTGCTGTAATGTACTCTGTTTCAGCCCTGTCAAATCGCTTGCTGTAAGGACAGGTACAAAGATTGTTCCATTAGTTTTCCATTGAAGAAGATATTCAAAAGAGGGCCTAGACACAATAATTACATTACAAAACTGGGGAAAAAATATATAATGAAGATACGGACATTAATGCTTCACAATCTACATGTTAGACAAACTAGGTTATGGCTGCTGAACTTTCACAACGTCCTTATTTGGATGCCCCCGATACAACAACATTCTTCTGCACTCATTTCTTCTTCCCAAAGCTGTGCTTGAGTGAAGGCGCTAAGAAGGTTAATTCAGGGGTGTATTAACTCCCAGGTGAGGGAGGAACCCTGATTTACAGCATTTGCCAGTTTCTGCGGTATAAACACTACCACTCTGACCAATTTCAGGCTACCAATGCGACACCACTAAATGCAGAATTGGGAAGAGACACACAAAATCTGCTCTCATGAGCCAATGCAAGCTAGCTCCAGCACACAACTAGTTAAATTTATGAGAGGTAAAACAATAAGAGGTGAAGAAAGTAGAAAATCTGTATCTCTTGATTAACAGATTAGAAAAGAAAAATTTTGATGGAAGAGAAGGCTATAGACAGTGGTTGGGAGCTGAATATAAATGGGACAGAGCACACCCAGCAAAATGATGCTGGGTGAGAGGAAGAAGTAAATATGCTATGCTTTTTTTTTTGAGACAGAGTCTCACTCTGTTACTCGGGCTAGAGTGCATGGCGTCAGGTTAGCTCACAGCAACCTCAAACTCCTGGGCTCAAGTGATCCTCCTGCCTCAGCCTCCCAAGTAGCTGGAACTACAGGCACGCGCCACCATGCCTGGCTAATTTTTTCTATCTTTAGTAGAGACAGGGTCTCGGCTCTTTCTCAGGCTGGTCTCGAACTCCTGACCTCAAGCGATCCTCCCATCTCGGCCTCCCAGAGTGCTAGGATTACAGACGTGAGTCACCACACCCGGCCCAGAAAGTAAATATGAAGTAGAATAGAAAACTTCAGGAGAGCCATATGCAGGATTTCTCAACCTTGGCACTACTAACAATTTGGGCCACATCGTTCTTTGTTGTGAGGAGCTGTCCTGTATGTTGTAGGATGGTAAACAGCACCATTGGCTTCGACCCACTAGTTGCCAGTACCACTTCAAAGCTGTGACAACCAAGAATATTGCCAAAATGTTCCTAAAGGAGCAAAACTGCTCCCAGTTGAGAATCCCTGGGTTAAGCTGTTCTCACCCTCCTCCACTCAGCAACAGACTGTTACACTTCTATTAGAAAATTTTATATATTTACACATACATAAACTCCATTGATAGGTAATGCCAGTCTTATGTGAAGTAGGGTAATTCTACTGGAGAAGTCACTTTGCAATCTCCTCTTTGTTTTCTCCCTGAGGTTGGTACAAAAAGAAAAGTTATATCTTTATTCATTATCTTTTGCCTTTTCCATATAATTTGTTGCTTTTCTTTTGCAATAAGAGGATTCTTCCTCTCTTGCAAGAAAAAAGATTGATTCCCATTTACCAACTAGTTCTTTAATTTAATGACCACTAATAGTTGCGAAGGCCATGATGCCATACCTGTTATGACTGCCTATATTAACTCAATGTAATAAGTAGCTTCTAGTATAAGAGTTATAGCAAAAAAGAAACAGATATATCTCCTACTCTAAGATTCTCTATTTTGGAAAGAAATACAGTGAAAAAAATAAAAGGCTTTTATTTTAGAGAACCCAGGGTTCAAAATTTTCCTCTGTCATTCCTACGTGTGTCCCTGTTTTGGTCAAGGCTTATTTTGGAAGCAAAGAATAGATATTCAGTTAAACCAGCTCAGGTTAAAAAAAAAGGGGGTTTCATTGTAGGATACAAGAGGCAATTTCATAGACATGCCATCGGAATTAAAGGCTATTCTCTTCAATGCTTAGAAACCACACAGTTCCTCTCATTTCAGTTTTTGTATTACAC